AATGATTTTATTTTTTCATTACCTTATTTTATTATTTGAGCTTTTAAATTTTTGTATTTTTGTATTTGAATTTTAAATCATACGTTAGCGACCTAAATCAATAAGTTGGCGATCCCTAAGGGGGTACGACCCACAGGAGGAAAAACACTAACCTAACATAACCATTAAAATTCATAATTCATTTCACCATTGAAATTTCATATTAAATTTACAGACAGTTTACTACATTTTCTCCAAATACCGATTAAAATTTTTTTATTTAATACAAATAAAAATGATTTTTTTCTAAACATCCAATCGCAAGTATGTTTTACAAAAATAAAATATTTAATATCTTGTTTTTTTTTTCATAGAATAAAATCCATGTAGGTACATAGATCAAATCAAAACTTTAAGGATGATATAATATAGTTTATTATATTAAACATTTTAAATACAATAATTATTTCTAATGTTATGAACAAAATTACTATGATATGATAACTATTATTTGGTTTCTTGTAATATTTTCTTTAAATTATTTCAACATAATATAAAAAAATGTAACATTGTTTTGAATTCATACATCATAGTATCATACATATCATATTATATATTTATATATTATATTTGTAGTGTAGGATTATTATTATCTCATAATATAATATTGTACGGTGATTACGTAAAGAATATAATATTGTTTTATTACCAAATATATTCTAGTTCACCGCATAGTTTGTGACAAACCGAAAAATATTTATTAAATAAAAAGAAACATTTCTAACGCAAAGTTTTGCAACAATGTTATAGACTATAGACTAGATTATCATTGCAATTTCTGAAGGAAGTTTAACCGTCATTAAGTGACAGCAGGTACAGCACGCTTGACCTACACGATTCGGTGACTAATATTATTGTTATACCATAGCAGATGGCTGGAAATCCCAAAATACTTGTCGAAACAGGTTTCACAGTCCCAGTATAAATATTTTAGAAGTATAATTATAATAATAATGAAAAAAGTGCTGTTATAATTTATAACGCTATTTCCTATACAAACGACATTGACCACCGCATAATATATAATATTGTATACTCATATTTATACAGGAATGTACCAAATTTGTATAGCTAATTTCCTGTTAACTGTTTCACAGATTATTAAAATCAATATAAAAGACGAATTTCGTATACACGTTATGTTACCTAGGCAGCCGGAAAACTAATTTAACTGTCTGATCAACAGCAAAATCACTGCTAGAGTAATACAGTTACAAGCTTATATTAGTTTATAATATTTTATAATATTAACTAGATGCCTATATTAAATGTTATACTTTGCAAATACACTAGCCACAAATATAGCTTTAGTACGGACAATTTACTGAAAAAATAGTTTATAATAGATTATGGGGTGAGAGAGGCAAAAAGAAAATTAAACTAATATTATGATGACAAAAATGTTACGATAGCCGATGGTAGTTTTTCATCAACAATACTTAGATGATTGAATTGCATTCAAAATACGACGACACAAACAAAAAACGCCGGCGGTATAAGGCATATATACCGTATATGTAGCTATTGTTGGTTTCCATAATTTATTATCGTGACCATTGAGATTCGATTAAGCAACAAAGATTAGCTGCTAATGGCTAAAGACGACCCGAAATATTTGAATTGAATTCCTACATAATATAATATATTATTTTAATATCATTCTTCAAAAACGCAATATGTTTTTTACTCGTTAGTTAAATTAGAAAAATTCTGAATTGAAATGAAACAAAAATACACAAAATTATTATTATGAATAGAATTTTTAGACTAGAGACTGCATGTATTATAATTATTTTACTGTACCCTGTACGGGTAACAGGTATGCACGTATTTTAGTAAAATATAAACTACTTATACTATATTATTGATAAATTGCTTGTAATTTATACATATAAGTAATTTTAATTTTAAATTTTTTGAGTACTGCATATTTTTAAAACACTCTAAAGCCAAATATAATACATTATATACTATTCTTAAATGAATTCTTATGGTTTATAACGTTAAATAATATAGTAATGTGTAATAATCATAAAATAAAATAATTTAATTGATATATTTTATGCCAACAAGTACCTCTTGATAATTAAACTAGTGAACACTAATTCTAATAATTTCATACATAATTTAGCGCTGCGCAAAGTATAATATACGTGTATAGGTTCTGTCGAAAAATATGGTACAAATAAGTTATCAAAGTATTTAAAACGAACATAATTTGATAAATTAATCATCTGAGAGTGCAAATCCTAGGCGAAGGTAGTTAATGTCATTTATAAAATTATAATATGTTATTTTTAAATGTTTTTTATAGTCGACTTAATAAAAGTTACTAGATAAAATCTTTATAATCAATACACTACCTACAAAAAAATAAAAAAATAAGGACTGTGTAATAATCACACATATTCCTTACAAAACATAGTGCAGGGAAAAATGTCTATAACAATAACAGTGAAAATGTCACGCCGTACGTGACAGACATTGGCAGCTACACCATATAGCTTACTGCTGATTAATCGATTTTTAAATAGTTTATATATACTAATTCCGATTGAGTGTCAAAAATGTTATCGATTAGTCTTACACGAGCCTTACAAAAATGTATTTTCAAAAAAAAAAATTAAATAAATATCATATAATATAAAATATAATATTATAGCTTGTTCTATTTGCTAGATTTATTTTTGTCCGGCGTAACATTGTGCAAGTCACTCGTCACGCGCCTTTAATCTGGACCGTATAGTCGCGGAAAGAAACGTTACACTTATAAATAATAGTAATAATATATTGTGTTTCCTTGTTGGAAAAAATATAATAATATAGCAAAACATGAAATAAAAAACAGAAAAAATGCTTGGCTAAACGTTTTTTTTTCTTTTGACGTGTTTGTTGTATATATTATAGTAATTAAAAAAACAGTGAAAATCTTGCATATTATTATCTATCTGCCGTTGCCACGAATAGAAAGCAAACGGTTTTTAATTATCGTGGTAACGATGATGATAATGATAACAATAAGTCCGCCTACGCGTGTTTGCGTAGTGTGCGTAATTTGGGGCAATTAAAGAAAAAAAACCGTCTCTAGTCTCTTTGCTCTCCCGTGGACCGGAACATCTGCGGTGTTGGTGTGCGCGTGCAGTAGCAGGCGCCCACCACCCAAAAACATTACACAAAACGGCGGACAATAATGATGATATTATTATATTAAGAAAAACTCGAAACGTCCGAAACGATAAACATTGACGCGTACATTGTCTTGACGCGTTGAACATTTGATGTACCTATTTAATACTTTTTTTCATCGTCGTTGGTTTGTTTGACACAGAAAAAAATAGAATTCGTCGATGATAGGTATATATTTTGTTGCTTACATTCAAACAACAATCGAACGAGAAAATATTCGATGTGTTTTGTTTTTGTGTACTAAACTATACCATTATATTATAGATAAAAAAAAAATTCTATAAACATGTTATACACTTTATAGATATTTGATTAACCGTCTAGGATTTTCTTTTAATTTTTTTTTTTATTTTCGATACGATTATAAATATTAGTATCGCGTTCAGTTTTAGCGACTTTATTGATTTTAATATCCCACATTAGATTTAATATTAATATTTTAGCAGTTAAATGTTGATTTATTATTCAATAACCGATGAATATTTTAATTCCTAACACTTATACACATAAATGATACGTTCGATTTAAAATACATGACTTAAATGCAACAGTATAATGTGAAACGCGAACTTGGTGATTATATAATATTTCACGTACACGATTTTCTACTGTTCTAAAACAAAATATAGGTTATAAATAAGACAATATTTGTTGGATCACATTAAAATATGTTAGTCCCACACCAATGCTTGATGATTTTCAGTTTTAATACATTTAACCGATATAAACATATACATCTGTTCTTTTTTTTCAAAATCCTACCAGAAAAAACGTCTTATATTTTGTATCAATACTATTGATTTTTATAAAAATCAGATATCGGTGTTTCGGTCATTTGTGACGATCGTGATTTTTAAATTTTCTTACAAGTATTTAATACGAAAAGCGTATCGATTTCAATAAATCTCACTTAAACTAAAAATGGTTAGGAGTAATATGCACGTGATATTATAGTACAAATCATGTAACGAGTGATGTTCATATAAATAATTTTACAACTTTATAAATTTTAAAAATAAAAAACAAACAGTACGTGGTTTATACGTACAAAAAAAGTTACCTAGAATTGGCAGAATTCCTATCTATGTATGGAATAAGCGTTTGTAGATCGCACATTCATATATAAGGAAAATAAATTGCCTAACTATACCTGATATTGCCTACTACGAGATTTTGAACGCAATAAAAAAATATGACATGTTCAACTTTTTTATTTCAAAATAAAACAACAACTATCATAGATTACACCTAAACATTATATTTATTTTCATATATTTCAAATACCTATAGCATAATACGAGTGGAAATTATAAAAGTTAAAATGTCAAAACTGATTTTAATTATATAACTCTAATGTTCTTAATATAATATAGTCGATATGAAAAAGTTTCGTTCCAAAATATTCCTACCATAGTTTATAAATAAAAATATAATCTCCAAAACTTCAAAAACATGCACTTTATGATAATGAAATATAGCGTGTAATCGACAAAATCGTAAAATACTTATACGTACACGAACACCTAAGTCCGCAAAAGTCCGAAGTATCTATAAGAAAAATGTATAACCACATAATTGTCCTATACGGGAATCTACATTGAAAATTTAAAGTTCAATACCTCTATAGATACGTGCGTTTATATCATAATTTATACGTATATTTATGATACTATCTTGCTGTAAACACGAATTTTATATTAAAACTCGCGTGAATGCTAAAATATCATATAATTAACAGTTATGATGGTATTAAAAAAAAATCTAAAGCGACTCACCTCCTGTCCCTGACGCGTTTTTGGGTGCCATTCGTGCCCCTGATGGTCCTGTACAGTGACATCATGTTGTCGCGGCCCGGATGTCGCACTGTACGGCACTACGGATGGGTATAATAACTATAATGTACCTACGCGTTGTACCGACCGGTGGCGAAAATAGCAGTAATGATAATCGAAAAGCAAAAGATTCCACGATCTGTCCGTCAAGCGGACTGTTGTTACTGCTGAGTCCTTTCCCTTTCGTACGATATGGGCGCACCTATCAGCTATGTACTATATTATTTAGGAGGCGGCTATAATATGATGTTTAACTACGGCAACAAGTAATACCGCACACGCGCTCGAGGTAAACACGTGAATATTTTTTACACACTTTAAAGAATAATCGCGACGATCGTGTTAGACGTAAACGGTATAATATAGGACACTCAGTTTTCGACTTAATCCAAAGAATAACGGACGAAAAGACACACGTGCGGTGATGAATGAGACGTAATGATTGTTTCGAAAAATTGATTGCGTGGGTGGTATAAATGTAGTTGTCCACGTCGTCGTCGTCAGCGGCGGACGGTCCGACGTTAATTATCACCACTAGTATACTAGTCGCGCGACACGATCGTATTTTCTCTTTCGCGTACTCGCACCCGCTCCGCCCCTCTCCATCGACACACGACCGTAGCATCCACCGTCACCTGCAAGAGGATGTCGTCGTCCTCGCCGGCTACCCCCCCAATAGTCATCATCGTCATAATTTGTAATCGGTGCTATCTATTACGATATGTTTATTAGGTGTTATTTTTTATTATTACTACTGTAATATGTGTCAATTCTCGCAAGGTTATGATAGCCCAATGCTGTGTGTGATTTTTTAATATTTATATTTTAACTATATATATTATCGATGTAAATCTTCTCATTATCCGAAAATGTTCTGACTTGCTAGATATAAATAATGAAGAATCATTTTACAATCGCTAACTTTATTTTCATAATACTAGTCGAGTGTTAGGAAAACGAGATAACGAGATTTTTAACTATGTCTCACTCATTTCCGAAAATATTGTATATTCTTATGTAATAGAATGTTTGTTTAAGATTTCTTGAGTTCCGGTAGATATTAGAGGCGTAATTAAAAGTGCAATAATATAAGGATAAGATATGGTAACATCAGTGTTAAACACTTTGAAAGCACGACGAAAAGTTAGGCGGAGACTTAAGGGAAGTACATAGCTTCCTATATTCTTACAATTAGGATTAATCGACAAATAGCCATAATTCTTTGAAACGGAACAAGTATGGTTACCATAGTTTACCATGGTAAAAACTAAAAAAAAAATAAAAGTAAAAGTGACTAGGTGGATGTTTTTATAGTTAAACTAACAAATATACTTATTTCTATTTTTCCATTTATTACAAATTTATTCTAAATTTGATTTTTTGGAATTTTTAACAGTTGAGTAGATATTTACTTAATGTCAATTGGAAATAAAATACTAATATAATGTAACATTTTTTTATGTTTGTCAAAATTATCCTAGTATAGTAACATAGTGTATAATAATTAATAATTAATAAGTACACATTAAACTAAGTTTGTTATCTATTTTAAATTTGATATAAAACTTATTATTAATCCTTATTATTTTTAATATGTAGATGCATTAAGTTTAATAACTCAGAAACTACTCCTTTGAATATTAATTTAAATAAACTAGAATTGTCAACAAAAAATCTCATATTTAACCATTTAAAATAAAGGTGATTTTTATTTAGAAAAAAATGTTGTACTACTATAATAATACACCATACACTCCTTAAATTAATAATGAAACGAAGAAAAACCTAATTATCTAAACTTATGGTCATTAAATAGATACTTATTTACTAAGCACTGTTTATGTATTTGTAAATATATTTACACAAATAATAAGTTGTACACAATGTACACAACAATAATAATATACGATACAATATTATAATGTTTATAAATATAAGTAGTTAGTTATTAATTATTATTCATTACACTAAAAATCATCATTCAGTGCAAGCGCATTACGTGACTATTTTACTTGGATTTTAGAAATCTATATAATAATATACATTCTAAATAACAGCCGCAGGAAATATTGTTTATCCCTACTAGGAAACTATGAATAATATAGGTGACTTATTATAAGAGTCTTACCTTGACATACTGCCCTGCACATAATAACCCTCGAGAAATGGTTTCGTCGGTCCGGATATATAGGTGATGACTAATGAGATTCGTTTGGCGGGATTTCATCGCACTGTACACCATTATATTATCACACACACGCACTCACGAACAACAACGCGACTAAACGGTTTGATAAAAAAAACGTTAATACTCAGTCGGCACGTCGAAAACTACAGCTCAATCAAAAATTAAACAGTAACACGAAAAAATTCAATCGGCAATCGTTAGAGACTAAAGAGCCACGACAACGACAGTCGACAAACTTTTTCATAAAATTAATGGAAAGGAAAATATCGCGGTTACCCGATTACGAGTACCGTGGTCTCGAGAATGGACCGCGGTTACGAAGTGTTCACTTCACTAAAAGCCGTAGACAGATTCGTCTTCACACGCGCGCGTCTATAAAGTTACCACCAAAACTCGAAATCACCTTAGCCCTCACAACAGTATCACTATATCAGGATATCAAATGCAATATAAGTAATTTTATATTGGTTATTAAACAATTTGGGAAACTATCCAACCCCTAACTCATCAATATGTTTATAACGAATACAATATGTTGTAGCCCCATAAAAGTTATTATTAAAAAGTCAACCGAGCGAGTGGATAGTGTTGCAGTAGATTTCAATTACGTCTCAGTAAGTGATATGTTCAATTTAAATTTAATGATGTATTATTTTATACGAAAAACAATTCTGAACGGAGAAGATCAGTTAGTCTAGTATATTGTACATTACTATACATGAAATGTTTTAAGTAATACGGTAGGTTGAATGAATTTATACTAAAAACGGAAAAAAACATTCCAATGTCCTAATCCTAACATTATTATTATTTTTAATGGTGGCGGGAAAAAATATAAATAGATAATATTATATAAAATCCGGTTGTTTTTAAATACAAAATACGAGATTTCATTTTTTCATTTTCAGTATATATTAACTACTTAAGAAGAATTTTATTATATTATTAAGTCTAATCAATAATAATTGAATCTATAAAATAATTTTAACTTCAAAATTATTTGCGAATTTGTATGGTTTGATGAATTTAGTAAAAATTTAAACTTAAAATTCATATAAACAATTATTACAGGTTTATGTTAAAATTTATTTTTATTCTAATATTGAAAACTTCTGAGAACTCTGCTTTACATTTTTAAGCTTTTTTACCGAACATACATTTTTATACTTGGAAAAAAATCAAAGATTTCAAATTTTAATAAAGAGTCAAACTTTGAAAATTATACCGTGAACAATGTATGACAATTAAAATGATTAAATGGTAAAAAATTAGTGGAAATTTCAAATATCCACTGTAATTTATTTTTGAATTACTATTAACTAACAAATTTGTAAAAAACTGGTTTTGTACAAAAATTTCTGTTTTTTTTTTTTTTTTGGTTAACTATTATTAATAAAAATACTTGAAATTTTTTACTTTTCATCGCTACTAAAATACCTACTAGATTCGTAACAGAAAAGATATTGAAGTTGAAAATTGAAACATTGTTATTACTCTAAAAAAATAAAATAAGACACATTATTATATTAACATAAATACATTCACTACTCCCATCAGAATATGAAATTAAAATTTATTTACTTATTTAATTGAGTTTATTTTATTTAAAAAATTATCGGAAGACACCACCAACTTTTTGTAAATTACTTTCATATGTTTATTACTTATGAATTATTTAGTAATCATTTTACAGTTTCATTTATGTTAAAAGATAAATAATGATATTATGATAATAGATATAACTAGGGCTCGAAAGTTGATGACCTTAAAAACAATAAAAAAATGTCCTAAAAAATGCAAATATGACATAAAAATGACAAAAAAAATGTCCTAAAAAATGACCTAAAAAATTATAAATATTAGTTTTATATTAATAAAAAATACATTTTTTTTAAAATATTTTACTCTAATTTACTATAAAATTCAAAAAATGACAAAAATGTCCTTAAAATAGGAAAATTAAAAAATTAAAAATATTTGTTTTATAAATTTATCAAAGCTTACAAATTATTTAAAAATCAAAACCATTACATTGTATAACTTAAACTTATATTATGTTATCGAAAATAAATGAACGACGATTATCTGTTAATAAATATTTATATTTAGAAAAACTTCTCTCCGCGTCTACTGAAGTGATTGGGGCAAATCTGAAATGGACTAGTTAGAAATCAGTAAAAATGACTAAAAATGTGGGAAAATGACCTAAAAATATCAAAAAATGACTTAAAACGTAATAAACGCCGAAAAATGCAAAATAAAAATTAGTTATTCAGATTCACATAATTATGAAACAGATTTTTGGCCAGGAAAGCATCGTCTAAAAAATTCCAAAAAAAAAAAATGCAAAGTGCATCAATTTCCGAGCCCTAGTTATAACAATAGTTTTATGGTATTTTAATGAATAAACTTTAAATACCTATAGAATAAGTAGTAAGGAAATTAATATTTTACAGGAGATACTTTATTTAAGAAGAAAATACATTAACGTTTATAATTTAGTAAAGTATATTTACACTAATATTATCATATGTTTGAAAATATATATATTTAGGGGTGCGATCTTCTATAAGATAATATTTGTTGGTTTATGAAAATTGTAAGTAATTAACAAGTGAATTATGCTATTTTTTCATTTTTATTTTTCAAAATAAATAAGCACTATACGACTTATTTAAGATAAACTTTAAATTTATCGTCAGATGTTTTTAAATATTAAAAAAATGTCTATAATTGCAAAATACAAATGTTGGAGACTTTAATCAATTATTATTAACTTTTAAATAAATACAATCACTTTTACTGTAACTAAATCTGTTATAATTATTATGTATAAATGTATATTCAATACTATTGTTAGCGTTTTGAACATTAATACATATCATAGAATAACAAATTTCACAAGATTATGTGGCAACACAGAAATAATCAAGCACAGATAATAATTCTTACTCAAAAGTCAACATTACTCCAACTTAAGTCAAAGATAATCACATACAATATTATTACTAAGTTTTCTAAATGCTGATTAATTAAACGGATTAACCTGTACTTGTATAATATATAAAAAATGTATAAATATGTATATAATATTATACTAAGATTTGTATACTATAAAGAAATTCTTGAATTGTTGTCAAAACATCGAAAGTTAAACCTTCGTTTTAAATTCATATACTTATTAGATTACTAAATACTGGCTATTAACATATATGTAATAAAAAAATCTTTTGGTATTATTCCAATATTTAAATAATAATTGCATAACATAAATGTTGTATAAATTATTTCAGTTTAGTGTTTAATTTGAAGTTTATACCAACAATATTTCTATAAAATTATTTCATAAATAATATTATCCTGTCCGATATCATATTTCTATTATACAATTTTGAATGTTACACAAACATATAAAATAATATCAATAATAAACATGGAAAAAATCAATAAAATTGCATAACTATTAACTACTATATAAACATAATTTATATTGTATTAGTAAAACATGCCTACAAACTTTTACTAATTTAATGATTACAAATTACAAACGTAGTTCCTATATTAAAGTTTTATGTATATAGATGTAAAATATAAATACAATAATAATGAGAGTTCTAGCTATAAAATCTAAAACAACTTTCAAATTCAACCAAATATAGTCTGGATATTATCGTATAAAAATTTTTAATCCATCATCTTTTATCTTTTTTATTTATAAATTGTATAATATACAATAAACATGAATAAATACAGTTTATAAATTTATAAACTATACTGAACCAATTGGCTCCAAATTTTACACACCTATTCCTTGAAATTGTGCGAATGTTTAAACTGTAGTTTGAACTTTTGAAAATATACTAAGTACTATAATTCAACCACGACAAGAGGTTGCCCGTTTTGGTCGAATTAGTTTACAGAGAAAGGTACACCGTCGCCGATTCACTCGTTGACTAAGGTACACTAAAACTGAGATACGCCAATCAATATAGCAATTATAATTCATTGTTAAACGTTAAAAATCAAGTTATACAGGTAGTTGAAAATTGACTTAAATTTTTTATGAGAAATGCTAAAATACCCCCGTACATTTTAATTTTTTAATAAAATCTTAAAACAATATTTAGTGGATATATTCGTATAAACCAAAATTAACTAAGTTAGTAAAGACTACAAATTTGTAAAAGTATAAATAATATATTAATTATATTATTTTGTTATAATTAATTATATAATATATTATCATGTTTCAATATGAACTTAATGTTTAAAGTGAAATTATTTATATGTAATTTTAAAAATCTGTCTACATTAAGTACTTAATACCTAAATGATTTATACAATAATATTTAATCACTTAAAAAAATTTTAAGGAGTTACAGACTTATGATAATAAACCTGTTTTTGTAATCATTAAATAATTTACAATTTTATTAATTGATTAATAAATTGTTTAAGTTTTAATTTAACTATTTAGAGATAAATATCCATTAGAATATATTATGGAAATTGTTTTGATTGACACACTATATTATTATTATCAATTCATTTAAACAAAATTAGATATTTATCACTTGTATAACAAAACCATAATGTAACCACTTATCAATGTTATAATATAATATATTTAATAATATTATCGCTGTATATATATACTATCAATATAAATTATTTAAATGAATTCTCATCTAAAAATCTGTATATTATATAATAATTGTCTACAACGATTAAGTAGTTATTAATTTATTAAATTCCATTAGGTATAGTCCATAATATCATGAAATATTAAAATACTAATACATTTATATACATATTTTTTTTTAAATAATGACGTCATATTTTTTTTTTTTTTATTAGTAACGAAACATAAGCAATTTTTTTATAAGACATGGTCTACAGAACCTATGATAAGCGGTATTATGTCATGATGAAATATTGGTTAATATTTATACAAAACAATAAAACTCTGTTATAAATATCACACGCTTAGTGATTTTAAAATCAAGTTAAATATAATAAGGTGAAACTCAAAAACATGTACCTACTCGTATGTAAAAAAAAATGAGGTGATTAAAATATTATACCAATTCTTTCCCGTTGAAAATTTTAAATTATTAAAATGCAAACAAAAATTGCACATTAACAAATATATTAATTTTGCTTACTTAATGCTTTAGATACAGATAATTGTTATTTAAAAAAAATATATAGCTATAATAATTAGGGATTTTGCTAGATTTGTAATCATAATAGGACGAACTTAGTTGCAAACTTTCTATTTTCAATTGAACCTTGAACATGACCTAGAAAACCTGTTTTCTCACATGTATAAATATTTCATCGCTAAGTAAACGATTTATACATAATATTACAAAATACCAAATATAATTTTATACTTATACAAGTGGGCTGTAATTGATAGATATTTAGAATTAAGTTGATTTAACCTCGACATAAATCAAAATCATAAAAAAAAAAATTTCTGGAAGATATTTTCTCATAGCTCATAGTATAATTTTTTTTACCTGAATAAGCAAATATTGTTTATTATTTTTCTTACATATTTATACAAAATTATAGTGCTCAGAATTACTAAAAATACCATAATAACCATATTATTATGTATTTATGTACCAAAATTAAAATGTCTATAATATATTTAATTTGTATTAAGCCATAAAATATGTTCTCGCTAGTAAGTACATATTGTTATACAAGAGTCAAGCTAATCGAGAATAAATAAATAATAAATGTACATAAAAATTGAAAAGAAACGAAAATAATTATAAGTGGTATGTTATGGTATGTTATTGAAAAATATTATGTGTTTAATACTATGCTATATCATATTCAATAGTGTACTATACATTTATACCTATATATATCATTAAAAATATTTAAAATTAATGTTTAGGCTCTATTTCCTTCTCTGTCAAACATTTTACCCAAAATGAAGTGAAATATACTATTGACAAATACCCCCTTAATAAATCTTCTGGGTTTGATCTTATCACAGCTGAAGTTGCCAGATTTCTATCCAAAAAAGCAATTGTTCATCTCACACATATTTTCAACGCTGTTCTTAGACTTTCCTACTTTCCAATAATTTGGAAATACTTAATTATTGTTCTAGTCCCTAAACCTAATAAACTTCCTTACTCCACCTCCGTTTTTCGGCCAATAAGTCCATTACCTTTTTTTGCTAAAATCCTAGAAAGACTTTTATTAGAACGTATTCTGCCAAGCATAACGACAAATTCCGTTCTCCCCGACTCACAATTTGGATTCTACATTCACAAAAAAGGCTCTATTTCTTACAGTATGAGTTTTCTATTTTTAAGCACAACAATTTCATAACAAATTTAGCTGCAGTCAATACAAGATAATTAACCTTCTAACACACCATAATATGTAAACATTATAAATTTGATTTAAATTAATTTTAATAATTAGTTCGAATGACAAAGTGTATTATTACATAAGTATTTATTCGTATAATAACTGAACTTGACATCAATTTTTTTTACATCTGTACTATCAGTTAGTTTATCTTGCTATTTAGATTTTAAATATACTCAATAATTGCAAATAACGTAACATTTCTTTAGGAACATGATGTGAGTTATTTAAAAGTAATAATGATCCATACATTTGCATTATCAACCTTCATCCTGCAAAAGACACATGTAGTATTTGGTAATTTTTCAATATTATTTTTATTTATATAACATGGGAGAGTCTGTATATGTCATTATATGATAATAATATAAAATGAATAATAAATGAGTAAATTTATTTCATAGGTAATAGATGGGAATAAATAGTTCCATTACTCGTGCACAATTTGTTAAGTTTAAAAAATACTAATTTACAGATACAGTTATAAAATATATTTTATTGATTTGCATAGTTTATGTGTATATGTACATGTGCATGGACGAGAATGGGGCAGCTTCAAACTAAATTCTATTTCTTATACCAAACGTGTAAATTTTACTATAAAATGTGGAAAAAGCAAAAAAAAAAAAAGGTTATTAACTACCCCTCCCTCCCCCCCGATTAAAATCCTAGCTACGCCCATGTACGTGTGTATTGTGTATGTTGTTACCAAGTATTATATTGTGTGAAACATGGAAGATATAGGTAGTTTATAGTCAGATATACTTATATTTTTCTTAACAAAATAATTTGAAAGACTGATTAATTTAATTTTTTTTTGACGCTGTTGACTTGTATAAGTGTACATTAATTAGTTGGATTATGATGTTTGTATTATAAATTATATAATTACATATATAATACCAAACTGCATGCGTATACATTTTAAATATTAGGAAATTAATGTGCAATCTCATGCATGAAAAATTATTTAAAAAATAGCACTGTTGGTTTAAAGAAAGAATATTTACCAATTTATTATTATTGCATACCTAGCTACTTATTAAAGTAATTGCTTAAAAAAACAAAAAAATAAATAAATAAATATTTCATTAAGAAAATATCAGAACATTTAAATTATAATAGAAGTGGAAGTGTTATAACTGTTATAAGTAATAAAATGATAAATTTAAAATTGTGTACATAAACATATGATGAACCTTATTTCCTGAAGTATATTTGTTTATTTTTATCACTACAGCATAATTCAAATCTTCATCTTATCGAAACTGGAAACACAAATACTATTCTAATTACACAGACTTTATTCTAAAAACCTATTTATTATTAATTTACACACGTAAGGTGGATCTATATTTATAGTTAATACTAAACAGATATTAAATCAAAGAGTGTTACAAAAATTATGATTATTTTGGTTTTTTTGTAAAGTTTCAGGTATATTTTACTTACGAATATATGTAATCTTAGCAGATTATAGATTCTTTTAAATTATACTTTTTTTATCACCCATATATTTGTTTAAAAATTAAAACTCCTGCAGTAAAGTTTCTTCAGAAGATATTTGCAAGTATGATAAATACAAAAGTAGTGGAAAATAGTAAGATTGTGCGTATTTTAAATTTTCAAAAAACAATTTCTAATACTATTAATGTTTTTTTTAAATCAAAATGATTAATGTTTGTTGTTTATCACACTACAAAAATCGCCCCTAGTGTATAATTTTAAATACACATTTATACTTCTAAAATAAATGGTGATTCGTATTTAGGATCGGTAGAAGATTTTCTGCTTCGCGGGCGATCGACGAGCAAACAGTGCGCTGCATTTGAAGCAGACGCCAACTTATTAGCATGACAACCGCCGTTTTCGCAGTCGTACATGGCCACCTCGACGTCGTCATCAATAATTTCTCCCGTAATTAGTACAACGGATGATGGTTCGTTCATTTCATTGTACATTCATAGAAGTGTGTTATAATATTAACATAGGTATTATACCTATATATATATATATATATGGTATCTCAGCAGAAGTGCAAATTTTGAAAACGCGATAAGCATTATAGAGATGGAAATTTACTCGACATAATTTTTCATCATTAAATAGTTACAATAAATTTTTTTTTTCTTGAAATTTCGATAGTTTCTTGCTGAGTTATTTCAAAATGTGCGCTTCTGCTAGGACACTCTATATTTTATAACATAATATGTTATACCTATCTATTATAATACATATGTATGTTTATGAAATCTGCATAAATTCCGATTTTTCCATTTGAATAGGTAACCATGAATACTTTTAAGCCTAATATTACGATTAGAAAAAAAATCTCATTCATAAGTCTCTATAGTGAAAGAGTTTTTTTAATCAAAGTTTATAAATCTGAAAAAAATCAAGGATGTAACTAATACAGCACTATAAATCTGTATTATTATAGCTGAAGTGGTAAGTATCAAGCGCCATACGTGAACTATAATATGGTGAATATAAAATTGCAAAGGTAAAGGTATTTTATAGTTCCCCACGTTATTATTGCTTACACACGAATTACTATTAGCAATCAAAATTTGGCTACTTCATGGGCATACATATATTGTAATAATTGCAACAATATAACTATATTTAGTAATTTCTAAACTCGATAGATACTCGACTTTGAGATCGTCGATAAATTTTTTCCGTAATGGTTAACGATCAAAGGACATATTTTCTTATCAACCTTAGCCAAACATTTCCGATGACAAACCATCTTACACTCTATAAACAAACAATAACAAAATTACAGTGTAAATATTTAAATATGGACATAAAGTAAATGAGTAGTACGGTCATGGACTCACCCTTACACTTGATTATAGTAACCCATGGCAATACGTTTCGAACATCACAAATTGAACACGTCTTAAGGATCTTAGACGGTATATTTAAATTCTTCCAAACGTGTCCGTCGTTGATTTCTACACAAGCTATCTCCAATTCGCTCTTTATACTTAAAAACAATAAAAACGAAAGCATTCTTTCAAACAAGATTTATTTAAAATTGCACATGCTTACTAATCGATGCATGGTTGAGAAATTTTGGATTTATTTACCATTTATGTATAGCTGGTACAGTATTTTGTTTGTTAAGCGTGAGTCTGTATTAAATATTGATAAATTTTGTTGTATTTTAACAAAAAGTATAAGGAACAAACGCGTTGCTAATGAAAATATCTCGTGGAGATTTTTATTAATACAATTCTTTTTTAATTTATTTATTTATTAAATAAATCCATAATATTAAAGTAATATACAGAAAAAAAAATAAGAAATTATATTAAATATTATAAATTATAATTCATAAAAGTATACTTGTCTTAACTAATAATATTACTTAATTATAAAGTGTGATCCAAAAATGATAAATCTTCAATAATATAACACAAAAAACATTATTTTAAAACATTAGTTCTAAGAATATTAAAATAATATAAACACTAAATTATAAAAATACATACATACTTAACATCATTAAAAATAGTTATTCGTACTGTAAAACATAATAATGATAATTTTTTCAAGAACTATACATCGTAAACAATATGTGCATTATACATACATAATACATAAGTAAATTATTAGAGCCAAAACTATTAAAAGGATTAGAGAATGCAGTCGCACTCAGGCCTGGACACTATTAAGAGCCCAAAGTGTACAATGATTTTATTTTTATAATATTATACTATATAATATTGCCTACTTAAACTGTTTTTGATAATTTAAAATACAATGGAATTTAAGTTTAACATTTTAAATCTGTTTTCCACAGTTTATTGTACTATAATCTGTACGAATATAAACATTATAATATGTTATTGACACAACATTCATGATTTGTATGTGTTAAATTATTGAACTTTTATGATTATTGAAAATTAAAATATTTTTACTAATATCTCGAAAGCATTAAATAAGGTGAACATTCATAAAATTTGTGAGTTCTATGATAATTTCAATCAAGATACTATGTCTGACTACTTATCAGCAGTACAAAATAATGTATTTAATAAGACATAATATAATAATACCTTAAAAAAAATTACATCTCTAGAATATTTACTTAGATGAAGAGGTGTTAAAAATGTAACACAAACTTCGAAATTGCGCCACTGATAAGGATACTGAATTATAAAAAATATAATGTGTTTAGAATTAAAAATGACTTGACTTAAAATAAAATAAACGATTATGTACAATTCTAAAAACATTATAAAGTGATAAAAATATTAAAATTAGTATTGACTAATAGTGTTTTGGTTGTTTTTTCACTAGACTGAATGTAACAGAATATCATGAAACGCAATATTTGTCATAAAATATTTATGACGTTTTACTTTTACTTTTTAATGTATAGGTAAGTACCGAAAATTAAGTCTAATATCGACTTAAATTTAGCCTACATAAATGAAAGGGGAAAAATGTTAAATACTTTAAATAATTTATTATATAATTGACAATTGTTATCATAATACATAAATGTACATACCTCCCAAATCCTGACAAAAGTAATTACTTGATATTACACCAACGTGAAACTTTTTAGTACTTTTAGTGTTGATTTCCATTAAAAATTCAATCACACTACAATATCAACTGATTTATAAAATGAATTAAATATCCAGCTTTTTAATTATATTTTAAATTATTGACATTAATTAAAAAAATTCAAATAAACACAAAATTACATTAGACAATGTTTTTAAAATTTAAATTCAAAATAATTATCATAAATAAGTAGGTATAAAAGTATAAATAAGTATATAAGTATAAATTATACTATTATTATTATTTTATTTTTTTTTATAAATTATACTATTATTATTATTATTTTTTTTTTTTTTTATAAATTATACTATTATTGTTATTATGATTATTTTTTTTTTTTTAGAAGTATAAATAAGTATATTATATGAAGTTCGCTCCTTCAATGCAAGAACTTGTAATAAATATAAGGAGTATAACAAAATGATTGAGAAATAAATCAGACTGCTATATATGAACATTAATTACAGAAGTGTTCCTAAGTTATTAAACGTTAAATTAACATTAAATTGAATACACGATTTAAAATTAATTACTGGAAAATTAATTTAAAAGAATACCTATACTATACATTACATTAAATATCATTTTCGGTCAGACTACCAAACATCAATTTATTTGGAGTCCCTAATATTTGGGCAACAAAAATTAAAATTATTTTATAATGCTAGAAACGCTTAAGTTCAATATATTTACAAAAATTATAAGTCTATGAAGTTTAATTAATATTTATTTAATAAAATTTGCTAGTACCTGCCTAATTTAGAAGCAACCACTCTGGTCTGCCACTTGTTAAACAAAACAGCTATTCCATTAGATATTAAACAATAATTTTTGAAAAACAAAGTTTATGAAATATCTATCTATTAGCATACTAAAGTATTTTAATACCGATTACACAGATTAAATACTTGAACAAAATTAAATATATTCTATAATATGTGTATGTGGTATGTCTATATATACAGATGAACATTTACCATAATATGTGTTGTGCTTCGGGACTAGAGACACCCACTGTTTATCAGTAACATGCAAATAATGTAATGAAATATTTTACGAATGCATACAATTGCTATTTTTACATTCCAGCTCCTTCAGTTCTTTTTATTCATGGGTTCAAGTGTTATGCAAATGGAGTATAATATCTCACGTCACAATAATACACTGGATAATTATAATAATATAAATAAACATAGATTTATGATCAAAGTTAATAAAATGCTAAATTAAAATTTCTACAGCAAAATGTCCAGTATAATTGCAATAAAGACAGAAATGCGTTTTAGTAACTATAGTACCTACATAATATGTATAGATAGATATGTTAAGTTTTTGCGATTAATAAAACAAAAGTTTTAAATTCTAAGTAGTACGAGGATTCTATTGCATGTTATGTAATAATATGTGTTGACATTTTAAACTTTTTATGTGATCACTTAATTAACATAAACATCGTTAACATAAAAGTTTACATATTAAAATGTATTTAAAATAAAACTTGACAGCCAACTATAAAATAAATAGTATACATCTAATATGTATTGATGTAAATAATAAATTTAAAACATTTACATATTACATTGTTACAATGCAATACGTATAGGTACCTACAAATCAGCCACCATTGGAAATAAATAATAATCAGAATAAAAAATTAATGTACGTTTAAAATAAAAAAATAATATTAATGCAAATATCTTTAATCTTTATCCACAACTATTATAGTTTTTGAAATTATTCATAATCTACCTATTCTGTTCTTTACAGCTTTACAATAGCTAACACAATATTATAACAATTGCTTTATATTCTACTAATTTACATGTCCAAAGTTTTTCAAACGTATAAAATATTTTATAAATATATATTATCATCTCAGTTTTTCCAATAATAATTGTGAACAACTTTTACTTGCTTAAAAATATTTTTGACTGATAATTTTAATATTCTAGAGTGATCAATTCAACAACGATTGACACAATCAATAAACTACAAGGATATGAATTATTTAAAAATAAATAAATAATAATAATAATAATAATGAGTATAATAATATAAAAGTTATTTTATATTTATGAGAAAACCTTCAGCGTATTACCTTAAACTCTTAATATCGTAAATTTTGGCTTAATATTAATCGTTATTCTCATAAATTGCTCTAGCAACATAAATTTAATATGTAGATATAGTCATATTTTTTAGTAATGTGTATAGACTTGACAATAATTACAAGTTATAACAAACACTTATCAAATTTATAGGTAAGTACTAAAGTACCTAATAATCAAAATAATAATATTTAATAACGCTAACTATTAAAGATGTGAGATCATTCGCCTTAACCATAATAATTCAAACCTAATTAAGTATCCGATTTAACAGTCAATTAGTACAAACAAATAATATGTAAGTACAATGTGTATAACATGTATGTAATGTGATGGTAAACATTTAAATATTAGCTACAATATTACAATAACGATACAATAAAATTCTATTAAAATATGGAAATAATCAGTGTCAATAAAATAGATTGAAAGTTAAAACAAAAACACGTTAGTCGGGAAATATTTAAAAACAAGTTAGCTTTGATCTTTGGAACTAGGAACATAATAGTTTGTTCGATCTTTTGGAGCAATTAGCCGATAATTGCAAGTCAATTATTGAAAAAATTAGTTTTTAGAGTTTGCTTTGTAAATATTCTTTCATATTGATCAGACAAAGTTAAGGGACTAGAAAAAGAAACTTATAAAATTCGTCGAAAAACTATTGATTTGAAAATTGTAAAAACTAATTTGCAATTTATTATTTTTAATTAATTTTCAAAATATCGAAATATCGGTATTATTTCTTAATCGATGAGACAAAGTCGGGGTGCCAACTTTACGGACAATACTCGTGTGCAAACAATCTTAGTATTTAGTATATAAAAATTATCATACCACACACGATCGTCACAAATAAATAGGTTAATAGATGTGCAATACATTAAGATCAAAAGCATATAAAATAACTTATGAGCACGGTTACAACAATCGACAAAGCAATTTGCAATAATCAGCATCGCTTTGAAAAGATCAGCTCACACAGAAAATTTTCTAAGTCTGTTATGACAGTGACAATCATTTGCTTTTCTAAAAAACATCCACACGATAACGTGCCTCGCGGTAACGTAAATCAGAAGCCTTGTGTTTTTTCCTATCTACTGTACATAAACCCCGCCATTTGGTGGCTACTTTACAAGCTCACGGGTGTTGAAATAATAATGATTTACATTATATACCTAAGATTTGATTTTTTTTTAATTAAATTTCATCGGATTTGGAATTATTAGAACGACGAAATAAACATGGCAGATATGTCTAGAAAATGTATATCAACACGTATAGGATGTTATTATGTTCAAATTTTTATTGATCTATTAAACACATTATTTTCGTGATTTATCCATACAAGCAATAATAATGTACATATTTTATTAATCAGTTTAAGTATCTACAGTCAGTAGATA